ACGTCATAACTAGAGGTAGCCATTGTAGACGTCATAACTAGAGGTAGCCATTGTATACGTCATAACTGGTATTACCCACTCCAAACGGCATAACTGGGTGGTAGAAATTGTATACGTGATAACTAGAGGTAGCCATTGGACACGTCATAACTAGAGGTAGCCATTGGACACGTCATAACTGGGTGGTAGCCATTGTATACGTCATAACTAGAGGTAGCCATTGTATACGTCATAACTAGAGGTAGCCATTGTATACGTCATAACTGGTATTACCCACTCCACACGTCATGACTACGTGGTAGCCACTCCACACGTATCTTCCTCTACACTAATATAAACGATGACGTATGAATAATGACGTTACAAAACCAACCTTAGGACCAATGTTCCCTCGATTGCAAAAAGATCGCGCAACGTGTATTTTCTGTCGCAGCCTTTCTTTTCAATCTTATAAAAGGATATATTATTATGTATTTAACAAAATGACTATGCGGCTGTTAAAAACTACTGCGCGGCCACAACACCGCGAAGCTTAGAGGGAACCTACCCAGGGACCGTGTGGAGAGGGGTCTGCGGTTCTATGCCAAATTAGTGATGTGCCGTCTCACACCTGAAAACTTCAGCATGCTAATCAAAGATTTTTTTTAAAGAGAACCATTAACGATATCATCATCACCATTCTTCATTCAACGTGATCATTTGCGAGAGTGGTTGTTTTTGGATAAGTGATAGATAAACCATATAATAGGCATACCATGCCTCCAAGCTTTTGTTTTGTGGTTTTATATATATATATATATATATATATATATATATATATATATATATATATATATATATATATATATATATATATATATCCGTAATTCTTTATAGTTTACATAATATTGTGAAAACTACCACCACGTGTTGTGTAAACCATAAAAGCAAAAAATGAAAAGCGATACATTTAAAGAGCGGAATTATTTAATTAGGCACTCGACAAAAGGTGTTGAAGAAGTACTCAACCTTAAGTACCGACCAGGACGAAACGGGAACCAGATAACGACACTCACCTAGAACCGTTCATTGCGCAATAAATAACCTGCGCGCACCACGCGCGGGCCTGCTCATCTTGGAGCCCTACATTCCCAATTGAGAAAGAACCGGCCGCAAATCATGTCTTTAATCGGTCCTTGAGTAGCTGACAGTGCCAGGGGTGCACTCAATTTTGCATCTACCTTCCCCTCGCGCATGCCTCGTGCTGAACGGGGGGAGATAAAAATTAAAACAACGACCCCAAACTTTTGTATTCCCACAAACTTGTTCTGTATTCTAAATTCTTCGTTTATTTTTTAAACTTTATTTTTTTTTTTACCCCCATGATTATTCTCTCATCGGAATTATGTTGTTTAATTTTTTTTCCCCCTCGACAAATTCCAGTAAGATACGAGTGTCTGAAAATGATTTTTGCCCACCTAACGCCTTATCACTCTCACCGTCTTGACATCTTCCTTCCCCGAGTTATCCCCCTCTACTTGTCTCCCTTGGGTTTTTTTTTCTCTACCCTACCAGTTGTGGGGTTTTTGTGAATTTCCAAAGATGATCCCGATAATTTGTAAAGCGATATACAATCAAAAGCCAGCCGCGCAAACTGTACGCCAGTTTTGGTGATAGCTTATTTTAAACGCACTCGGTTCTCTTCATTCTTTCCATTTTTTCCCAGCGGTTTTTCCCCCCTCACTTTAACTTTGTTTTAAAACTGCAGGAAGTCGGTTCAGAGTTTTATTTAACAAATCGAAAATAATTCTACATCTTTGTATTCAGCGACGCCCTAACGCATAAAGGTGGATTGGAAATTGTCTGTTTGTTAGTCTTTTATACAGGTATATCTTTTTTGGTGAGTGCGTTTCTCCATTACATACATATATATATATATATATATATATATATATATATATATATATATATATATATATATATATATATATGTAGTTGAATAGGAGAAAGCTTCAGCCAAGTGGGGTAGGGTGCCACTTCAGGCTAACCATGCATATGCTTTATCTAACTGAAAACCTCCTAAACAGCGCCTCCTTTGTTTGTTTGTACCCCCTATTGGAGTTCTTTCTCTTGCTCTCACTTTGATGGTGTATCCGATTTGTCACGGGGGAGGTCCGCGAATTTTCGCTAAATTGTGCAGAAAATGTTCATTATGCATTGTTTTTCTTTCAACTTTTGGTTCTTGAGTAGAACTCTTTCTTTGATCAGCCAATGTTAATTTGGTTGTATTCATTCTTCATAAAAGATATGAGGATAGCAGTATCAATTATCCTCATGTAATTTGTATTTTAGGTTTTAGCCTCTGATATGTAGGTACGAAAGTTGTTAGTTCAAATACCATCGCGAAAGTTGTAGATTCGGAGATTAGCCAGAAAGGTGTAAGTTCGGGTATTTGCTCGAAACTGAAATTGAAGTCTCACCTATATCCATGAACCTATCCCGACGGATTTTTAAAAATATTTTTAAAATTTACATTGCCGAGAAAATCATGTAGATGAAAACTTCGATAATCCGTCGATTATACTATATTGAGAAAAAATATTTGTATTTTGTGCTTTATTTCACTATTTATTTATGTAATCTATTAATTAATTACCAAAAATACATACCGATAGCTTATTAACCAGTTATAACACTGATCTTGGAAATTTGAAATTTGAAATTACAAAGATAGATTTGGTTTTAGGAACAGGGTGTTTATGCTGTTATGTATCCATGTGATATTGTGAGCTGAAGAAATGTAAAAATGGAGAGACAAATCACTGCCTAAGTGTCTGAGGGTCAGTTCCTGGGATCGATGTCATTAACACGTCGCTGAGTTTACTCAGCTCTAATGAGTACCTATATCCGAGAAAGTAAAGCTGATTGGGAACAATCTGACCCTGCGTTAGCCGGTGTCATAAAAACAGGTGAACTATACTTCATATACCCTAGGGACCGTAAAGTCAGAAAGTTTACTTAGTGCTAATGAATAAAATCCTATATTTTCTGACAGTTAACAGTATAAACCCCACCCCACTTCATCCCTCACCCCCCCCCCCCTCCACGCACGCGCGCGCGTTTGTATCTATATTGAGGTGTTACATCTTCCTTAAGGTGTGAAATCTGTTACACGTTGATACCTAGACGTCTTTAAGCCAACAACGATAAGATGCTGCTCTCTACGATGATAGCCGAGAAGATGCTTAAGAGATAGCCTCTAACCTGTTGGCATTTCGTCTTCAGATACCCATCGGTCTCAGTTGTTGGAGGCTATTTTTTTTTTGTTTCCTTTGCTCTGTCTTTCATATTTAAACAAAAAATATACTTTCTTCAAAGCTTATAATTTTCATCTAGTCTCGTTGCTTGTGAGAAATAACGAGAACACAACAGATGGTGAGGGGGGATGGGATGGCGTGAGAATTGACACGTATGGATGATGGGGCGTGGTGGTAGGCTGTGGTGGTAGTCTCCGATGGTGTGATACATGCCGGCGCTGGGGTATCATGATGGCCAGGGGTGACGCCCGGGGACGGGTCGGGTTCTGTCAAGATTATCTTTGTTTTTACTCGTTAACTGAACGTGGGGTTACGTCCACAGAAGGTTAGGGTTAGCTTGTTGTTAACTATTCTTGTAACCTCAAGTAACGTGTGTATTCAGAGTTCTGTAGGTTAGGGTAGGTGTCACGACAACTTGTCTCAGGGGCGTAAAAAGGGGGGGGGGGGCATATGTCCCCGGGCGCCGACCTTAGGAGCGCCAAAATGGGTTGGAAAAACAAAATGAAAGTTTGGGGGGGGGGGTGCAAATCGAAAGTTTGAGGGGGGGGAGGAGGGTGTGCAAAGCGAAAATTTGAGGGGGTGCAAAACTAAAGTTTGAGTGGGGGTGCTAATCGAAAGTTTGTCCCCGGGCGCCGGGAAGGGTCGCTACGCCTCTGACTTGTCTACCAACATTTGGTCTACTGAAACGTAGTCTAATCCGGTACTGAACCTCAAACGGTGATTAGAAATCGTAATTTTACTTTTGGTGAGGGTTAGTGTAGCAGTAAAAAAAAATGTCGATTTATCAAATATCGTGGTAAACGGAATATCGCGGTAGACCAAATGTCCATAGTCCTTATGTTTTTTGTTTGTGTAAGAATTTAAAGTAACGAAACATGTATGTACTGTTTTCTTGAAATGGCTTCAATATTCTGTTTAAGTTTAATTTCATATTTTAAAAAAATGTGTTTTTTTTTTAAATTGTGTTTTACATTTTTTAAAATTTAAATAATGTTGTCTGTACCTCAAGTTCTTATTTCCACACTTCCATTTTTTAACATTTTTACTTCCCTTTTATCTACTTAAACCCTTGATCATCTAATAGAATATACTTTTTCTTTTTGCACTTTCAACTTTAACCCTCCGTACGTTTAAACTTCAGCTTCTTTTCTCAACTTTTTACCCTTTTTCACCCCTACATTGTTAACCCTTTATTCGCTCGCCACCATGTTTAACCCTTTATTTGCTAACCATTACGTTTAACTCTTTCACCCCTACATTGTTAACCCTTTATTCGCTGGCCAGCACGTTTTAACCCTTTATTTGCTAGCCACCATGTTTAACCCTTTCTCTCCTACATTGTAAACACTTTATTGGTCGCCACCACATTTAACCCATTATTTGCTAGCCACCATGTTTAACCCTTTATTTGCTAGCCACCATGTTTAACCCATTATTTACTAGCCACCATGTTTACCCTTTTATTTACTAGCCACCATGTTTAACCCATTATTTGCTAGCCACCATGTTTAACCCATTATTTACTAGCCACCACGTTTAACCCTTTATTTGCTAGCCACCATATTTAACCCTTTATTTACTAGCCACCATGTTTAACCCATGATTCACTGGTCACCATGTTTAACCCTTTATTTGCTCGCCACCACGTTTAACCCTTTATTCACTGGTCACCATGTTTAACCCTTTATTTTCTCTCCTCCTCAGCTCTCCCCCCTGATTCAGGACACGGTGCTGATCGGAACGTTTAACCACACCCTCAACAACCCCGTCGTGCCCCCTCAGGGCGCGCCCCGCACCACGACCAACACCAAGCACCCCTTCCTTCTTGGAGTCTGAGTCGTGTGACGCCCCCCGCGGGAGTCACCCACGTGATCAATGTTTACCTTTGTTGTTTACACTTTCATCCGATGTGATAAAAAAAAAGTTTACAAAAGAAAATTATTTTATCCATCACAGCAATAGTGATAAAAAATTTCACTATATTTTTAACGTGCTAACGCAAAAACTGGTTTTATATATACCCACGTATATATTAACCATTTTTTAGCGTTCTCGAGCATGTTGTTGTAAATAATTATATGGTGTAAATAACTCGTATGACTTAAATCCATATTAAATAGCCTACTTTAAGCTAAAATCAAATGTAAAGTGTTAGATAATATAAGGTAATATTTCCCCCAAGTAAATGAGAATAAACTGAAATATCCGCAATATTTATATGATGCATCTGCATGCACCGTTTTAAAAAGCGGTCAAATGGGCTAGCATTATTCTGTTTCAATTGCCCACGAATTTGTCTACAGCCCCTTTAGTGGTCGTTGGAGCTAGAGGCGTTTTTCAGGCTGTACCACTGAGGTTTGAACTTTAGCCTAGTGGTTTGGTACCTTGCGTTGGATAGCTTGACCACTCGGCTCGTATTATGTATAGCCTCACAAAATTTCAAACTAAAATCATATTTGTTTTATAAATATCTTTTAACAAAGCAAATGTTACTCACTGTTGTTTTTGAGGGTTTTTTTTTAAATATAGATGTCTTCTTACGACACAGTATTAGTAACTTGAAGTAATATTTTCATCTGTAGTGGGTGTCCGTGATGTTGTATTTTAATTGATATGTCTTTACTACTGCAATAAAGTTGTACTGCGGAAAACATACGCATGCTGAGTTGTTGCTTGTATTCTATTCCCACAGCCACTAATTTTTTTTTTTTTTACGGTAAGTGATTCCCTTAGCAACAGAATGTTACGGTAAGTTGCGATACGTGGTTACCATAGCAACACGGTGTTACGGTAAGTTGCGATACGTGGTTACCATAGCAACAGAATGCTGCCTCTGGTTGCGATACGGTGTTTGTTTGCTGAACTGGAGATATCTCCCCCCCCCCCCCGACATTTTAAACTGCCAGTAACTAGAAAACTAATGCAACGTAGAATGTTTACAATGCCTTATCTATACACAAAAAATACGTTTTTCTATGGTATTAGTCTAACATCAATACCTCTCTCCGTTGATTATTTTTGGATTAATCTTATAATGTATAGGCCTATGTATTTTGATATTGTTTTGGTCTGTTCAAACTCCAAAAAAAAAGAAAAAATGTTTAAGCGATGTACACTATTTTGTTGTTGTTATGCAATGCAATTTAATATTTTAAATGTTTTTTAAATGTATTGTTTAATCTGGAAGTTATTTCACTTTGTAGCAAAATTGATACAATATGAAACGAAGGGTTAATACAAACTTGATAATGAGTTGATGTACTATGACCTCATCCTTTCAACAAGCTTGTGATTAGGTTGTTATGCTTAGTAAATATGATAAACTGTTTTACAATAATTATTTTTTTTACAGTAAAACCAACAGCATGTTTGTTAGTGTTTGTAAGGGTATACAATGATATACATTTTAACAGTACGCGTCTAGCCCATATATCTGTCTGACCAACACACCAACTTTTGAATAGACCTACTTGACCAATAGACCTTTTGTCTGATAAATGACCTTTTCTCTACTAGTTAAGAACCTCGCTGTCTTGTAAAATTATTATGTCATCACTGATAAAACTCCTGCATAAATCACGTGATATTTGTTACAATTTTCTTTTGACAACAACTCCATTAGCATGTTACAACAACAAAAATTACATCATGTTTCTACATAGCTTTATCACCGTCTAGAGTTGCTCCCCCTTAATGCATTAGACCCGTCTTGTTGATTTGATGCTAGCTCTCTATGTTTATCTACCCAACCAAACAGTTACACCATCAGAGAAAAACAGCAGTAGGGGTGGGGGTATAGAAGGTGGGGGGGGTCTAATAGATTTGTCTTCAAACACTACGTCCGTAGTATTGTACATTGAATCGCTAGAAATGGATCTAGGTAACTAAGGAAGTTACTGCCCTTTTCTGATAAGATTTGTATTTTATTAGAAACCAAGTTTGATCGTTTATTTGAACACGTTTTTTTTTAGTGGAGGTTTTGTTGGTTTAGGGGAAACATGTGATATGGATATGTTGGTTTAGGAAACGAACCGGTTATTGGAAGATTTATTTTTACTGCAGGTTATTTTCAAGTGTTCGTGTATTTTTTTTTTGTATGATTAGTAATCAAGAATTTTCTGATTAATAACTTCGATAAATTTTAGATGTTTGTGGTAGTATTGATAATTTGCGAATATATTTGCTATATTGGGTGGATTAGCCACATTGTCATAACTCGCGTTGTAATATATTATCTGTGTAATGCGTAGTGTGACCTACTTATGTTTTAGCTGACCTACTTGTTCCATTTGGGTGACCTACTTCTCCGAGAACTGACATAATGCTGACCTACTTATCCAAACGCTGACTAGCAGATTAGCCAATTTTCCAAGAACTGGCAGTTGACCGACCTATCAATCTACTGACCTATTTCTCATTACACATGGCTGACCTACTTCTTATTATGTTGGCACTCGGCTGACCTACTTCCTTAAGTACTGTCAGCAAGCCGATGAAAGTACACTGGCAATTTACTGACTGAACTGTCTAAAAATAGTAACAGTCCCCCTTTGACGCTGAGATAAGCATCAAGATAACCCCCACAAGACTACACCTCTAGCCTTGTGAACCCCCGGCTCACTACTAGAGGTGAGGCGGATCTAAATCACCGTCATTAAAACTGAATACCACTCGTACGTCGGGCATACGTACGTGAAAACACGTAACGTTACGTAACTTGTCTTCTCCGCCGCTGGGGTGAGGGGGCGGGAGGGTTGTAAATTTATTACGTCATATTAAGACGTCATCAACGACTTGGTAACTCCGTTTTATTGCTTGTTGAACGAGACAGATTTACCGCCCTTGAGAAGGAGGCTTGTGCCATCCACAGCCATATTCCCCCCCTCCCCCCCCCCCCCCCACACCTCTCACCAAACCCCATGTCAGGTATCATGTAGTGGAAGACACCTGAAACTTCCAGATTAATATTTAATTAAGAGCACTCCTCCTTAATTAGACATAATTATAACCTGGGAAACCCAAATTAGCTAATAATTAACCTTGACCTTTTGGTTTAATTACGCGGTTGCCGGTAAAGCATTACCTGGTCTGTAATTTCTGGGGTGGTTTATTTTTTTATTTTTTTTATAATGGCCACTGAGAATTGGGTCATACAAGCCTGTACCCAAATGTATTATGTAATAGTACTGGCTTTAAAACTCGCTAAGTCTTAAAAAAACTCGACTTTCCTTTTTTTTTTCTAGCTATTCATTCTGAAACATCTTCCGTTCACACTACTGACTCACTATTCAGATATTGTGAAAAATGCATATATTTGATCCAATCTACTCACCACTCAGAAAATAGTGCAGCGTGTACATCTTTAATCTACCCTACTCACACTCAGCTTCTATTGTATTGACCCACGTGCAGACGTGACCCCCATGCAGTCATTACCAAATGCTCACTCACTCACTAAGTGTGACCCCCCCCCCCCCCACCCACCCTCCCCTTCCCCCAGCAGCAGCCATTACCTAATGCCCACTTACCCAACCAATCTGCCCAAACGTCTACTCAAACAAGGATAAAAGCTTTCATAATTTCCTCTCCACTTCTGCCAAACTTCTGACGTACCTGTGTGTTACGTCACAAGCAGGGCAGTAGACTCACCCAGAAACAAATCTAATTATGTTTCATTAGGACCCAGGAGTGTGTGTGTGTATGGGGGGGTGAGGTGTTTCGGCGAGCTCTTTAAGAATAAAGAGGAATTTAAAATATAGACGCTAAGCGTGAATACCTAATTTTTTGTTGGGGGGGGTGTGGGGGGGGGGGGTTGCTGGGAGTTTGTTTGATGTTGAAGGGTAAGCCTGTATGCACTAAGAAATAAAAAAATTCACAAGAAAATAGTCAGAATGTTTTTGAATGAAAAAAAAAAATAACAGTGAAAACGTCATTGGAAAATGTCCTCAAAATGTACTACCAAATATGCATGTATGAGTCTCGAAATTATGCTGGCGTATTTTTCAGGGGGCTTGTTTTTATATGACCTTGGTCATGGGACGTGATTTGACCTTACTCAAGCTGATAAATGAAAGTGATTTTTTTTTTACACAGCAGTCAATATGAGAACAAAAAGCCACATTTTGTACATTATTTTGAACGAAATTTTAATACTGCGCAAAAATTCATATCACAAGCAATTAATCATTAGACGACAATATACATTTGCCAAACATGCAAGATCAAAATAGCCATTTAAAATGTTAAGTCTTAAACTTATCACATTTTGAAAATAAAAAAAAACGCTCCTGTTTCTCTTCATACACATTATTTAATTAACTAAAAGATTCTTCAGTAGAACAACGCTGTCCAATTATTTAATTCCAATCCGATTTCTAAAAAAATTATCTCAGTCCCTCTAAGACACCGACATGCAGTACTTGATTTCCGTGTTTGATTGAAATGGATGCGGGCTATGGTCTGGTCTTCTAACCTTGTTACATCTGACATCCAGGGGAGGGGGGGGGGCGTGGTCGTGTCCAGCACCGGCCGATAACGCTGGCTCAAGTGGGTCTGTTTCATGTCAGGGCAACCTTGACTCTATCACGTGCCAGTGACCAGTCGAAGGTCATCACGTGTCAGTCTGACAGGTCGAAGGTCGTGTAAGTGAGACCTAAACATACCATGTGCAGACCTAACATACCATGTGCAGACCTAACATACCATGTGCAGACCTGTGTGTGGGGGTTTTCCTAGAGATCATTCTTTAATTGATCTTTCCAATAGAAAGAAAGATCGATCGAAAATAGATCGATTCACTGACCCATGAATGTGTTTCTCTAAAAGTAATGTTTGCGCGATCTCTCTCCTAAGTGCTCTCAAGGTAAAATAAAAATCTTATCAAAATAATTTGATCAGAGAATTATGCATATCTAGCATATATTGATACGTTCGAGAATCAATTCAACCTCGAATTCCTCATATTTCAGTTTATCTGTTGCTTAATGGTTTACGCTGATTCTATTTTACAAATCTCTTTCAAAATGACCCTACAATCATGTGTTGGCTGGCTATATCAGAGGCCCGAGAAATTTTAAAGGGGTCCGCAACGCCAGATTTAAATTTTCAATATGCGTCTTCTCGTGATCAAAGCCTGAGTTTTACGCTTTGGAATTAAGGAATGGAAACGGTAAAATTGAGAAATACCATCAAATTAGGTTTCCTTAAATCTAAACACTAATAAGACAATTACAGCACCGTTCTTGTGGCCCACGGGGATTTGTTTCTTGGGGCCCACAAGGAAATTCCTAAGTACACCAGTCCATTCCTGCTCACAATCACACAAGCACTAGTTCGCTCTGTCTATGGCTAATTCCCATACAACTTAATATCATTTAAAACTACTTCACAATCACACAAGCACTAGTTCGCTCAATGCCAGTGTATAGCTAATTGCCATACACCAATTGTATTGTGAAGCGTGCCCCTATCCTCATGCCCTAAACCCCGAGATTCCCATCTCATACACCAAGTGTATCGTGAAGCGTGTCCCTATCCCCATGCCCTAAACCCCGAGATTCCCATCTCATCCAACAACTCTGGACACCGTGCACCCTCC